GTCTATTCTCAGGGGTGGCTAAACTGTAGTTTGGGAGCCTCTTTCACACAGTCTAATTTAATGTTAATAAAAAGCAAATTTGCAATTTTTCAATAAAAATGTGTCTGTAATATTTGTTCATGCCTTGCAGCTCTCAAACATCTGACACTCATTCTCTGGGGCTGTTACATTAAGCAGATTTGGCATTCCAACCCTTACCCATCCCCCTCACTGCTCCCTGACCTGGATCGTCCAGGCTAGCCAGATCTCATCAGATCTCAGAAGCTAAGCAGGATCGGTCTTGGCTAGTCCTTGGATGGATGACCTCCAAGGAATACCAAGGCCGTGACGCAGAGGCAGCCAATGCCAAACCACCTCTGAAATGCCTCTTGCCTTAAAAACGAGTCTAGCTCGCCACTAGTGGTGCATATTGCTAAAATACCTAGAACTTTTAGCTGCTAGGCAATCTTAGGCTTTCCTTGCTATATTACACTAACTGCCATACCTTAATTCATTAATTTCCGTCATTGCTCTTTCAGATGTGTATACCATCTCTGAAGATAGAAGCGACATTCCCTGCGGTGGAAGGAGCTCCCTTGGAGCAAGAGGAGAGAGCGCAGGCCCAGGAGCGTGCCCAAGATGCCCTCTCCTGTGGTAAGGACTCCTTGTGCCTGGATACCATTGGTTCACCCAGTGCGTTTGATGGGTAGAGAGTTCAGGTCAGGGGGGGGGGGGAAATTAAACACTTCTTCATACAACACAGAGTCAATTTGCGGAACTCTCCACTAATTAAACAAATTAACAGAAGGCAATTCCTCACATGAATTAAAATATTCCTATCTCACCCTCCTTCCATAAGGTAGACAAATCTCAGCAGAGCTATTCAGCCCGGTGAATAAAGGAAGGCTCCACCTTCTGGGGCAGCAGAGCTCTGAAAACAACTTTCCTGGCCGGTAATAATGGGAAAATTTGTCTTCTGTGCCTGTGCTTATAGGGCATCTGGTGGACCGCTGTAGAAAACAGGATGCTGCAATAGGGATTGGCGGGCTATGGGCTGGAACCCCCCAGGAGCTTAAGAGAGGGGCTTGGAACAGTTGTGGTGTCATGTTGATATTGAGTCTGGCTGAAAACCTGGTTGTGAAGTTAGCATGCCAAGAGATACTCCGAAAACTCATTCATATTACCCTGGAGTCTCTAGATCATGGGTGTCAAACATGCGGCCTGTGGGCTGGATCAGGGCCCCAGAGGGCTTCTATCAGGCCCGCACTGTGTCCTTCTTCCTCCAGTTCTGCTGCTGCCGCCGCATCCTAGCTTGCTGTCGCCCAGGAGAGACAGATAGGCAAGCTTCTGTTCCCTGCACTGGCTGAGGGGGAAAGAGGGAAGGAGCCAGAACTTGCTTCCTGGCCAGGCTGCCTCAATCGCACAGGAGACAATGGCAAGCCTTTCTTCCTTTCCATTGGCTGAGGCTCCGCTCCTAAGCGAGGGTGGTGAAGAGGTGAGAGCTTGCTTTGCTTGGCTGCCTCAATCGCATGGGAGAAATACAAAGCACCTGTAAGACCAACAAAGTTTTATCCAAGGTATGAGCTTTTTTGTGCCTTGCTACAGTGTGTGTGTTTCCTTGGGCTCATTATGCTGTGGCTCTCCTGGGTGCAACTGGGCTCACTCCCCCTTTTCACTGTTTCCATGCCCTTGTGATCTAGTCTTTCTCAGTAGGAAAGCAATGTGAACTATTTAGATGAGGAGTAACAACAAGCCAGTGAGGTGGATTAGGCTGAGAGTGTGTGGTCAGACCAAATTCACCCAGCACGTTTCCTTTGGGGATTTTGAACTTAGACTTCCCAAATAGTTTTTTTTTCATAAAGACTTTTATTAATTTATAGATAGAAAGGGGGAAAGAAAGAAAAAGGGAAAGGAAAAGATACAGAAATATGTTTTAAAAAAGTTTAATTTAACATTCTGCATACAAATCCCCTCATAAAAGTTCTTCATTTAATCTTACTTTCACAGTACTTGTGTCTTAACCAGTCATAAAAGGCCCTTCATGGTCCCATAAATTCTACTTCCATTTCTCCTTTTAATATATTTGTCAATTTGTCCATTTCGGCACAATCCATAATCTTTATTATTAATTCATAAAGCGTTGGGATTTTCAGTGTCCTCCATATCGCTGCAATTAAAATTCTGGCTGCTGTTATAACATGTAAAATAAAGAAACTATGGTTCTGATCTGGTAAACCTGGTAAACAGTTTAACAGGAATATCTCTGGTTTAAAAGGTATGGTAATATTCAACACTGACTGTAAGAGAGTATGTACTCCAAGCCAATGTTTATGAACTTTTTTACATGTCCACCACATATGATAG